AAAAATAAACAATGATTTCCCCTACCCTCATCACCGTCGAAAATTCATCTACAGTCACAATTGTCCGGTAGTGTTTCATTTTCTTTTTTTTTTCTACAATTCGAAATGATCTGAAATCTGGAACGTGTACATCAAAAAATAAGTAAATCTATAAAAAAAATGTCAAAAAAATATTTTACAAGAAATAAATTGACCAAAATACCCCCAAAAAGTTTCAAGTGTATTTTAGTTAAAACAATCTTGTGAATTATTATTTTTATATTTTTATTAAGTACATCTCACTAAAATGTACACACACTCCAAATTTCAGATCATTTCGATTTTTAGAGAAAAAAATGAAAAATAAAACACTACCGGACAATCATGACCGTACGATGAACTTTGGACAGTAATGAGGATAGCCGAAATCACTGTTCAATTTCCCCTCTAAGTGTTGAGAAGACTTTTCTATACATATATATATATATATATATATATATAAAGAAATGTTTCTATACTTCCCCAACATCATAGAAGTTCTATCATCCCCTTACCATCCAACCGTCCAATTTTGATCAAGAGAGCTACTCACCATTTGATCTTAGATCCAACGTCTCAAAGTATTTTATTTTTAATTTTTTATACAAATTATATAAATATTAAATTTGATACGTACCATCTTCTCATTCGGGCACAGTTAAAAAAAATATTAAAAATAGTTTTTCGATAAAATATAATGACCAAAATATCCCTTGAAACTTTCAAAGGTATTTTAGCCATTTTATTTTATTGAAATTATATTTTTTTTGTATTTTTTGCTAGTGTGAGTTTAATAGAGAAATGGACATCCAAAATTTGGTATCAAAATAGTTTATAGAAAAAAAAATTTAAAATAAAATAGTGTAGAGATGTGACTTTGTGATTTGGGCAATCTTAACCCTCCATTTAGAATGGACGATTAGATAAAGAGAATGATAGAACTTCTATGTTGTAAGGGAAGCATAGAAAGCTTGCCCATATAATATATGTGACACCTGGTCTCAACCGCCACATCTGAGTAGATAGCTTGAGTCACAATGTCACAAGCTAGCTCTTAACCGTCAGAGCTTAATCAAACGGCTCAGAGTTTCTTTATTTTTTATTTTTAGTCCATAAATCATTTTGAAGGAAAATTTGAGGCATGCATGGATCTGATAAGGGCACACATGATAAAAATAAAAATAAAAATATTTTTATGATAAAAAAATTACCATAATACCCTAAAATTTTAAGAGGCATTTTTGGTCATTTATTTTTTTCAAGTTCACAGTACTCTTAGGGACTCCCAAAATTTATCCAAAAATGTTTTATAGAAAAAAATGAAAAATAGAACAATGTTTAACATGACATTGTGCTATGAACAATCTTAACCGTTCGATTCAAATCAAACGGCTAAGAAGTGAGGTCACATCTATCGTATATGTTGTTGCAGTAACATAGAAACATTTTTAATTAAGGAAAAAGCTTGTATAAGGTTCACTTGTAAAAGTCAGGTTGCAGTATCAACTTACAACATTCATAAAGACATGTCACTTTTTGACAGTCATAAAAAACATGCAAATCTATATCATCCAATTAACATAGATACTGTAGAAAATTGTCCTATGTAAACTACTCCCTTTAATCAAAATCAATGATAATGAGCAAGTCACTTAAGGGAGACAATTTACTTATGTACTTGTTTGAAACAAAAGTAGCAAATTACTAATTTATTATACCAAAAGAATAACTATCCATAAAGGAATTGGAAAATCTCTTTCAGTCAATCCCTCACTAGCAAATTTGCGCAATAAGAAAGAGTAGTGTTACCCCTACACTCCATATTGAGGCTGGTATCACATGTCTTAACGACAGCGCCAACACTGGCTATACATGTCTGATGATTTACTTATTTGGGGCACTACCACTACTTTAAATAAAAGTTCTTGGTATTTTTATGTCATAAAATGACTAAAGCTCCAGCGCTTGCTCTTAATTCTCTTGCAAGTTTGCGATTAAATTCCCACTGCTTGAAACTTCTTCTCCTCAAGTTTTTCAATAATAAAAAAAGGGCACAATTTATATAGACCCAAGGCTCTAAAAACTCAAAATTAAAGCCTTCATAAAAAATTTAACTGGTAGAGGTTGTTTTGATGCCCAAATATCCTCAAATTGATCCCAACATATGCACAAACATGAGAAAAAAATAGATTTCACGTTTTGAAAATTGTGTATTTTGTAACACATTTTTGGACCGTCAATTTTCAAGATTTTCAAGTTTTCATAGATCTGTCAATCTACACATATCAGGTTGCAATAAATCGCGGACTACCATGTCTACAACTACTTATTTAGTACTTAACCCAATCAACTTCAAATGTTTGCCAATTGAGTAATTTTACAATTAAGTCAATGGGCATTTTGGTCAACTATCCATGACAGCATCCAAAAGATTTTAGTCGTAAGCTCCCAGCCATGTATTTCTCATCCTTCAAGCATATGAAAGAAAAACAGATCGAAAGACTCTCTCTCTCTCTCTCTCTCTC